AGAGGGAGAGGGAGAAGAAGCAGCAGCCAAGAGTTTCGGAGCGACTGGGTGGAGAGCAGTCAGGCCTGGCCTGACCTAGCCAGCGCCCCCTGCAGGGCCCTCCCAGTCGTACCTCTGTAACAGCACTCAACCTCCCAGTGCGCCGTCAGCCAGGCCCTTCGCAGAATTCTCTCAAAGGACAGACTCAGCCCCTTCTGACGGCAGCGGCCCTCCCATGGGACAGCTGGTGAGTGGGGGCTGCGAGGTGGCTCAGGTGGCTGGGACTCTCACTCTCACTCAGGGAGAGCAGGAGACACCCGCAGCCCCAGGCAACCCCCTCCTCGCAAGGCCTCCTCCAGCTCCGAGGCCCTCTGCACCCGGCCACAGAGGAGCGGCTGCGGGTTCGACCCCTGCCTGCTGAGCAAATGACAAGAAACAACCCCAAGAGAGAGCCGAATTTAACCGTGCACCAGCCCCGTTCAAGCAGCCCACCCTTCCTGCACTCCAAAGAGAGAGCCGGAGCCACAGGTGCCCCCTGCGTTTCTTCTCTTCCTCAGGTGGGGCCCACCTTGGTGCCCTCCTGCAGCAAAGGTGGGTAGGGACTGGGAGGCTGGGGGCTGGGCTCTGGCTGGGAGCTCACCCAGAATTCGAGATAACGGGATTGTGTATAAAGATAGAGAGAGTCACCGACACTAACTCAGCAGACTCTGTGCCTAGAGCCTGGGCACCCACAGGGAGAAGGCGCCGAGTCCATCTTGGTGGGAGGCTCCCTTGCACAAACACACATACACAGATGGCTGGTGGGGTGGGGGACGGGGCTGTCATAGGTTGGATTGTGTCCATCCCCTCCCCACCCCCACCCCCACCCCCACCCGTTGAAGTCCTAACCCCCAGGACCTCAGAGTGGGACAGGGTCTTTAAAGAGATGAGAAAGGTAAAATGAGTGTGATTCAGGTGGGCCCTGACCCGACGTGAGTGGTACCCTTATCGAAAGCGGAGGTTAGAGCCCGGGCACGCACCCAGGGATGACACTGGGAGGAAGCACCCCTACGCGCGCTCTCGCCTCGCACCGGCAGCCTCCAGGGCAGGCGGAAGGCAAGTGTCTGCTGCTTGGCTCCGGGCTCTGTGTGTGTGTGCCGCTGCACGCGCCCAGCCCAGGCTCGTGGCTGGGGCTCACTCCACCCTGCACTGCACCTGGGAAGCATTTGCAGCTCTTTCTCATGAAAAGTTGTCCGGAAGGTGTTCTGAACACCTTTGCCTCAATAAACAAAAGCTGCAAAGCATGCCGAGACGTCCATCAGCCCTTGTCATAATCAGGTATGCCACTGGCCGTGGCAGGCCCTATGGGAGATGACTGTTCCTAACAAGGAGTGCTGCCCTGGCCACCATCTGGAGTTCCCTTTTTCTTTATCTTTGGAATCCTGCAATCAAGGTGAACACGTGTCCTGGAATGACTTGCTTCCCGGAGCAGAATCACTGCCAAGGCACAAGTACCCCCCAGTCTCTGCACCGGCACTGCCGCACCCAGCTGCACTGGTTTAAGGAACGAAGCCCGCCCGTCCCTGGACTTGAACTTCTCCCTGAAGTTGGGGTGGCCGCTGCAGCATTGGGTGGTACCCCTTTTCCTTCTGGGAGATCCTGCGCCCTGTGGAGCCTCTGGGCTCCCAAAGACCCTGACAGCCACAGAATATCATTGTGAGTTCTTCACAACTTCTGGGGCTACCTCGATACTAGATGGTGGGGACGTGTGACATCAGGGCAGTGACTCACACAGTCAGGGTCTGAGGGACACACACAGTCAGGGTCTGGGGGACACACACAGTCAGGGTCTGGGGGACACACACAGTCAGGGTCTGAGGGACACACACAGTCAGGGTCTGGGGGACACACACAGTCAGGGTCTGGGGGACACACACAGTCAGGGTCTGGGGGACACACACAGTCAGGGTCTGGGGGACACACACAGTCAGGGTCTGAGGCAGCTTCCAGACTGCCTTCCAGACAGCCCACCAAAGAGATAGATTTGGGGCTACAAGAGAAAGACTAGCTAAGCCAAAGCTCCAACTACGTAGGATCTAATTTGACTTCACTCAAAGCAGTCCAGAGACAGGCAGTCTAGGCCCTATATCAGCCAGTCAAGAAGCTGAAGGCTCTCTCTTCCCTTAGCCTCTCCCTCAAGGGTGAAAGATGACTGCTGCAGCTCCAGCCATCATTTCCACTTTCCACTCAGAAAGGAGAAGGACGCATCAGGGAAGAAAGGATAGCAAAACTTCTGCAGAAAGTTCAGGCACCCCCTTGTGCCACAAGGGCCAGCACGTGCCACGGAGCCACCCCCGTATGCAAGCCAAGCTGGGAAACTCGGAATGCTGGCTGCACACTGCCGCCTCATGGGGAATTCGAGTACTGCAGATTCAGGAGCTGAGAAGCGAGGGGACCAGTGTCGAGCCACTGCCTGTGAAGCCAGCATCTCATAGGAGAGCAGGTTTGAGCCCCAGCTGCTCTGCTTCTGCTCCAGCTTCCTGCTAATGCACCTGGGAAAAATAGCAGAACATGGTCCACGTGCTTGGGCCCTGCTACCCACATGGGAGACCTGGATGAAGCTCCTGGCTCCTGGCCATTGCAGCCATTTGGGATATGAACCAGAGAACAGAAGATCTCTCTCTCTCTCTCTCTCTCTCTCTCTCTCTCTCTCTTTCTCTCTGTCTCTCCATCTCTCTTTGAAGCTCTGATTTTCAAATAAATGGATAAATCTTAAAAAAAAAAAAAAAAAAAAAGATGGCTGGCAACGCGCCTCACTAGGCTAATACTCCGCCTTGCGGCACCAGCACACTGAGTTCTAGTCCCGGTCGGGGCGCCGGATTCTGTCCCAGTTGCCCCTCTTCCAGGCCAGCCCTCTGCTGTGGCCAGGGAGTGCAGTGGAGGATGGCCCAAGTGCTTGGGCCCTGCACCTGCATGGGAGACCAGGAGAAGCACCTGGCTCCTGGCTTCGGATCAGCGCAATGCGCTGGCCGCGGCGGCCATTGGAGGGTGAACCAACGGAAAAGGAAGACCTTTCTCTCTGTCTCTCTCTCTCACTGTCCACTCTGCCTGTCAAAAAAAAAAAAAAAGATAAGAAAACAGATGGTAAATAGGTCATCAGTCACTGACACTGTTATCCAGAGTGGCCATTTAAGAAGCCCTCCTAGGTCACGTATCTTGTCAAGTAAAAACAGACGCATATGCTCTCTCAGCCTCATTACTTTATACTTGTATATCCGTTACAAACATGCCCCACATGTGAACAGAGTATTTCAGCAAAACTCATTCTAATTTTAGAAGAAGGGACAGATTTAAAATATTCCTTTAGTGCCTCAATGATGCTAGAACAAAATAAACAGTTATTTTTAAGGCAGAACCCTTAAGACAAAAAAAAAAAAAGAAGGGGAGATGAACCAATGGCACCAAGACTGGAGAAGCTGTGAGTGTGACTGATTGCTCCAGCCGAGGACAGCTGCGCTCGGAGCTGTCCGCCCAGGGCTACACAGCAAGCCGGCTTTCGGGGGGCTCCCCTCCCAGACTCACGCCGGGGGCCCCAGAGTCATCTGGAGGTGGGAGGACAGCTAGGCTGCCCGTGGACCCCTGCTTCCTCCTCTCCACCTGAGGCAGGGCTTCCGGTCTGGGGACTCCTTGATCAGTTGAGTACCATTCGTCTGTTTGCTGTTGCTGACGACACAGTGCCACAGTCAGGGTGAGTTATAAAGAAAAGAGGCTTTTCTGACTCATGGTTATGGAGGCACGAGGTCAAGGGGCCTCCTTGCTGGGAGCGTCCCAGGGTAGCACAGGGCCTCACGTGGTGAGAGACAGGAAGCAGACCCATGGTAGTATCCCTCTGGTCTCTCCTTAGCCCCCAGGATGCAGTCCAAGGATTTATCAAGCCCTGACCACCTCCCAGATGCCCCCCTCTCAGCACCATAGCTGGGTTAGGTTTCTGCCTTCTCACCAGGAAGGATTCGATTTCAACACATGGAGCCACTGGGGACACACTCCAACCGTGTCCAAGCTGCAGTGCGCACCGTGGGGCCACAGGGCGGCCGAGGAACATTTGTGTACTAAGCGTGTGGATCTTGCTGCTGTCTTCTCCCTCTTCTCTCTCAGAGACTGGCAGCCAGGCCACTACTCACCAGCAGGATGGTGGTGACCTTCCGTGGACTCTGTCCAGCCCAAGAGGAACCCAAAGGAAGCTGACCCGGAGATGCCCCACAAAGGCCCCACCAAATTCCTGCCACACAAAACACACAATTTACACACCCCAGCCAAGACCCTGAACTCCCAACTGTGTCCCCAACGTCCTGGTCTTCAAAGTGAGCTGCAGCCAAGTGTCCCCAAGGGTAGCCTGTTAATAAAGAAAGATCGGGAACAAGTAATGTGGAGGAAATGGCCAAAACGAAGAGAAAAAAGTTTCAAAAGTAGTATAAACTTGGCTTTGACACAATGATTTTTGTACATGGAACTTATATGAAATTCAGATTAATAAGTAAACCAGGGCCGGCGCCGCGGCTCACTAGGCTAATCCTCCACCTTGCGGCGCTGGCACACCGGGTTCTAGTCCCGGTTGGGGTGCCGGATTCTGTCCCGGTTGCCCCTCTTCCAGGCCAGCTCTCTGCTGTGGCCCGGGAGGGCAGGGGAGGATGGCCCAAGTGCTTGGGCCCTGCACCCCATGGGAGACCAGGAGAAGTACCTGGCTCCTGCCATCGGATCAGCGCAGTGCACCAGCCGCGGTGGCCATTGGAGGGTAAACCAACGGCAAAGGAAGACCTTTCTCTCTGTCTCTCTCTCTCACTGTCCACTCTGCCTGTCAAAAAAAAAAAAAGTAAACCATGACTGGCACCTAACTACACCCCTGTGCTTACATATCATCCCCCCACTACCCACGCAACAGCAGCAGAGCTGTCCAGTCATCAGAGCCTACAATGTTCACCCTCTGTCTCTTCACAAGAAAATTTTGCCAAACTCTGCTCCATCTCAAGCAAGTGGGCAGACAGTTAACGACTACGTATGTCTCTACCATGAGTGTCTCCACAAAGAAACACGGGGAGAGTCAGGAGAAACGCGACACTGACTGTTCCCAGGATGCATTATGGGCAACATGCACTCCAGGGACGTGGGTGACCTGCACAAGCTGCCCCTGTAGAAAGGCAGAGCTTCTGGAAGGCACTGCTTCTGGAGGCTGCCCTGTGGCCTGAGGCTCCCCAGTCCTTCCCCACTCACAGTGCTCCACCCACCTGGCAGTGGAGCTGCTCCTGCCTGCTCCCCCTTCCTGCTCAGGAACCAAAACACCAGGGAGATGAGGTGTGGGAGCTGGTCAGTAGCCACTGGCAGCAGGGTCAGTGACAAGTGACAGAAACCCAATTCAAGTAAGGGTGCTTTTGTTAAGGAGACTAGGCTGGCTTACGCACCTGGGGAATCCAAAGTGAGTGGAGTGTAGGGCATAGCTGGACCTGGTGCTCAAATGATGTCATCACCCCCTACACACACACACACACACACACACACACACACACCTCCCTTGCCCTCACTCTTACTCAGGCCTCCAAGTGGAAGCAAGACACCCCTGTGGCTGCTGCATCATAAGATCCTTTCCGTTACCACCTTCCTTCTAGAAACACTAAGGGATTTTCTGAATTAGACCTCCAGGGTTGATGACGCTTGGTCTGCTATGTGTGATTGGCTGGAGCCCAAGCCAATCACTATGACCAAAGGATAGATGCTCTGGCTGCCAAGGGCTGGCTGTGCCACACAAACCACAGAGTTTGGGCAGGACAGTCACAGAACAGCAAAGGGGGACCCCTCCTCATAAAAATGGGACCCTGTGTGGTTTCCCATTTCCAGCCCTCGTTAGTAATTTTCCTTGGTTAGCAGAGTACGTATCCTCACCGTAACTACACACATAACACTCTCAATAGGAGGGAACTTCAAAAAGTTCATGGGAAATGGAATTGAAAGATGAGTTTATTTTGGTACAAGAAAGAGTGAAATCTATGCATATGAGGGGAGTCTTTAAAAAGCTAATGGAAAATGTGTATCATAAAAAAACTACGCATGGATTGGAAACTTTTGGGCACTAAAATAAACTCATCTTTCAATTCCATTTCCCATGAACTTTTTGAGCTGCCTTCATAGATTTTTGGGAACTTGCTGCTATGGATTCATCCCTGAATCATCACATTTCAGAGGAAATGGACACATATCTTATTCATCCCCGCCCTCCCTAAAAAAGGCCACATATTGGGAGAAAACATGTCAGGTATGAATCACGAGTTCCACTTTCTACCCTCACCTGAGGACACGAGTCTTTCTCAAATCCATTGAAGAGTTAACCGTCTTCTGAGGCAGCACCCAGAGCGCACGCTCAACGTTGCCTGACGTCACAGGCCTTTAATCCTCGCACACATTATTCGGCCGTGGTGTTTCTCACTACCCTTCCGAAGCAGCCTCATCAGGACCAGGGCACTTGTCTGCAGCCTCTGCCTCCTTGCTTGACTTCAATCCACGCAGTCTGAGAGCGTTTCCAGGCATTGGACAACAAAGGCCTGAGGACCAAAGGGTATAGGACTTGGTTGAAGGAGTTCTCTTTGTTTCTCTTCCCTGGGTCATCACTGTCCCAAGCAGGCAGGCGCAGGGGCTTCAAAGGCACTGGCTGGCTGGCTGGGTAGTCGTGTGCAGGTGGCCTGCCTCAGCTGAGCCTTATCAGTCAAGGAGAATGGGGGTCCCCGCCCTGCTGAGTGGCTTGGTATCCCCGGCCCTGCTCCCTCTTGCTCCTGTCTACACAGCAGGGGACAAGGCAGGAAAGGTGGCTACATAAACCCCGAGTCTGCCTGCATCTACACCAACACAGCTGCATCACAGGAGCTCAACAGGTGACCCATCTCTCCCTTTCCTGTCTCCCCAAGTCTTCCCACATCAGCGCCCTCCTGGTTTGCTGCCTCGTGGGGCCCTTCTCTGACAGGCCAGCTCAGATTCAGGCAGGCACTCACCACTGTCTCCTTCACCTACATGAAGCCTTTGGTATCCAAATAGCACAGCCAAGAGGGAGGGACCTGTTGCCAGGGAAAAGCAGCAGGTGCCTGCTCTGGGTGCCCTGATCTCTGACTCTCACCAGGCATGGAGCACAGTACTGACAGCATGATCCCTGTCCTGCAGGGCCTCCGAGCCATGGCCGTCCCCTTGTCTCTAAGGTCTGCTGGCCCAGCCACCTTCTGCCTCTCTGGATGACTCTCCTTCCCCATCAGTACAGTGAGGCCCCTTCCGATTCACCCTGCATGGTGGGAGCAGGGTGACCGCTCACAGGGGTGACTCCAATTCCCTTTGGTCCCTGCCTTCCTAGCTAATGAAAGGTGCTGAAAGCTGGCCTCTCAACTCATGGCCTGTTGCCATAAAAATCAGAAACTGCTCATAACGGAAGGGAAAAGTTGAAAGATAAAACAAGTGGAGATCATTGTGAGTGCACATGTATCACCTTTTTTTGCTCCTACTTTTTCCATCAGTGTCAGAAGACCGAGAGGCACCAGGCTCCAGCACTTTGCTCTGTGTGCCTGTGGGCCCCAGGCATCTGATCTACCTGGACTTGTGCTGGAGACTTTAGGCTTCAAAAGAAGATGTTGGCAACTTTTCCCCCAGTCATCCCCTCTACATGCAGCTGCAAATCCTGGAAATGCCCTGCAGGTTGCAACAGCACCAAAAGCCCCCCAGCAGCACCAAGGGTGAAGCAGCCCAAAACAACACTGCAAAGACCATGGAAGGAAACGGTGACGGGCATCGCAGCCCATGAAGTTAGGTAAGAACCTCCACCTGAACCCGCAGACAACTGCTTTCTAAGGAGAGGGCTTCAGGTGCACCCAAGGTCTCCCAGCATCAGCACAGAAATGTCCCAGAAGAGTCAAAACTCACTGCTGGTATCAAGAAGGAGCCAGGAGTAGCAATGGCAAATTACCTTGAAACAAATTTTAAATACAGAAACTCAGCCAAGATGTTGAAGTGACAAAAATTAATCAAATGGAAATTATACTACTGAAAAATGCAACAATTGAGGGTTTTTTAAATGATGACTTAGTAGAGAAGATGTGACAAGGTAGAGTCAACCAACATGAGGATAGATCAATAGCATTTACTTAACCTGAGCATAGACCTAGAACAGAATTTTCAAAAATGAACAGAGTGGCAGGCATTGCGGGCAGGTTGGGACACCAGCACCCCATATCGGAGTTCCTGCTTGAGTGCTGGCTGCACCACTTCTAAGGCAATTTCCTGCAAATGCATCCTGGGAAAACAGCAGAGGATGGCTCAAGTACTCGAACTGCTGCCACTCAGATGGGAGATCAGAGAGATCCTGGCTCCAACCTGGAGCAACCCTGGCTATTGCAGGCATTTGGGGAGTGAACCAGCAGAAGGAAGACCTCTCTCTGTGTCTCTTCTTTCTCTGTCACTCTACCTTTCAAGTAGATGAAATAGATAAATGAATATTTTTTTAAATGAACAAAGTTTCAGGGATCTGAGGCAGAAACAACAACAACAAATAAATAAATAAATAAATAAATACTCTAACCTTCATATTATTGGAATCCCAAGAGAGGAAAAAGAGTGAGACTAAAAAAATATTCAAAGAAATCATGGCTGGGGCTGACACTGTGGTGCAGCGGGTTAAAGCCCTGGCCTGAAGTGCCAGCATCCCATATGGGCACCGGTTCTAGTCCCAGCTGCTCCACTTCCAATCCAGCTCTCTGCTATGACCTGGGAAAGCAGTAGAAGGTGGCCCAGTTCCTTGGGGCCCCTATACCAGCCTGGGAGAACCAGAAGAGGCTCCTGACTCCTGGCTTTCGGTTGGAGCAGCTCCAACAATTGTGGCCATCTCTCTCTCTCTCTCTCTCTCTCTCTCTCTCTCTCTCTCTCTTTCTCTCTCTCTGCCTCTCAGTAGCTCTGCATTTCAAATAAAATAAATAAATCTTAAAAAAAAGAAAGAAAATCATGGTGGGCAACTTCCCAAGTTTGATTAAAGATATATATTTAGGATTCAAGAAGCTGAGCAAAACTCAAAGTTGGTTAAGTCCAAAAAATCCACAGCAAAACACAAAGGGAAAAAAACTCAGCAACAGCCAGAAAGAAATGACAGATTGCCCATGGAGCGACATGCATTACGGCAGATTTCCATGAAACAGGGAGGCCAGAAGCAGGGGAACACCTGTCAAGCTTCTGCAGAAACAGGCTGCCAGCCTTGAATGCAATGTCTGGTGCGCGTCCTTTGGGAATGAAGGGAAAATGAAGACGTCCTCAGATGAAGGAAAGCGAAGATTATCTGTCGTCAGTAGGCTTAGCCCCTAAAAATAAGTAAGATATCTTTCCAAATAGGAAGAAAATGTCAACAGGAGTAGGCTAGGACCTTCAGAAACTAGGGGAAAAAAAGAGGAACAGAGGGATTGCAAAATAGAAGTAATCATGGCGGCTGGCGCTGGGGCGCAGAGGGTTAAAGCCCTGATCTGAAGCACCAGCATCCCATAAGGGCGCTGATTC